TGCTGTACTGTGTGCAGCACACATCTGAAGCGGATCAATTTATTCGGCGGGAATTGTAGTTAAATTGGGCAAAGATATAAGGTCACCAATTTAGGTGTTACTGCACTTACCGAAATCACGAATACATAGGATTATACGCTTTCAGCATGTTCTGTAGTTTCAAAATCTTAAGAACAAATGGTCCGAACTCCAAAACTAACGTCAGATTAAAAATAGTCAACTAAAGCCGCTTTCATAGTTGATGTTCGGATCTGTCTTGAACAAAAATTGCGAAAAGACAGCTTGAACTATGAACGACTTGTTCGCGAACAGAAAACTGTTCGCAAGATCAAACTGTGAAAGCTTCCCGATCAGTGACAAAAAGACAAGAAAAGACATGTAAAAAGACGGTTCGGGCTGGACGGTCCCCCCGCTACAAAAAAGACAGTTCGGAGGCTTGTAGCCAATAGTTTTCATCTGACCGCTATGACGCACAAGCGGATGCGATGTACTGTACACGGATACATAAAATGTATACAAATATGTTATTTTAAACCGCGCAAAGTGAATCATTTTCTAACCACGCTCGCTGCTGTATATTCTGATTTTATTTTTATTGAAAACTTTGAATAAATTGAACTGATTGATTCCCCCACATTAATTTCATAATGCCGCCCAAAAAGTCAACTTCTACACGTAGTAAGAAATCCACGCAGGTGTCCCAAGTGGTTAGCCCATCGCCAGTGGTGAACTCCACTTCCGCCCAGAGACCGAAACTGGAGTTCACCAACGATGAAATTGCCGTTCTAATCGAAACTGTACGAGCTGATGCCATATTGTGGGACCGCAAAGAAACTGCCTACAGGAACCACGACAAAACTCCCAACTGGAATGGTGTAGCGGATACAGTCAATAGCTGTTGCGGAAATGGCTGGACGGGTGCTAACTGTCTGAAGAAGTGGGAATCTCTGCTGCAGTCTTATCGCCGACTTTTGCGAACCATCAAGCCAAGTGGTGATGAAGGAGATGGGTACCGCAAGCCAAAGTGGAATTGGTTCGAAAACATCTCTTTCACGAAAGACAACGTTTCGTGCCGAGATTCGAAAGGTAACGCCGCGGAAACCGGAGATGCCGAACAGAAGGACGTTGATTTGTCCAGCGACGGGGACGAAGAGGAAATCGGGTCTACTCAGAATCGGGAGAAAGATGCGGTCAGAATCGACAGTGATTTTTGGTACTGATACAGGATTCGAAGCGCGATGAACTGGGTGCATTGGCAAACCACCCTGAGGAGTCGGAAAAGGCTTTCTGCATCAGTGTTCTTGGCCGCATTGCTGAGTTTCCTGAGTTTGTTCGCGGGAGTATCAAGAACGAAATTCGCGGAATCCTTCTCGCTATGAAAGTATTTATCTATGCGGATCAGTGCAGCTTCCTCCCGTTATGACGCCAGCGGAAGTAATCACTGGCAGTACTAGCATTCTGAATACAAGCGGGGATATTTTTCAAGGTTTGTAGTGCATGTCAGTTGAAAAGGCACTTTAGAGCACTCCAAATGGCCTTAACAGTTTGATGAAATATATTCGAAACGGTACTAACGCCCACCCGGTATCGAATCGCAATATTTGTTAAAGACGCTCCTGTGGCTAAAATCTGTAAAGTCATGTGCAACCTTTCTTGATCGGATATTGGGAAACGATGATTGTTAGTTTGTTACCATGGCGTAACTTGGGTTTCACCATCGCAAACAGCTGGTCGAACGTGTCCACAGACATACGGCAATATTGAAAATGACGTTGTGGATCCGAATTCCGTAAGTCAGTCACCAGTCTGTGGAATTCGCCATAACGACGGCGACTGAGATTAACCGGTCGAATGTACCACTCCCGCTGGGTCAAAATATTTAGGTTTGTTAACACCAGTCGAGCTAAAGCGAGAAATGCAAGCAAAGCCGGCAGGTTTTTCTTCACGATATCCTTTTTTGGCAGCATTTTTGACAGTGTTTGGAAACTCAAAAATTTTAATTAGAATAAAAACTGGAAACTGGCAGTTATGTGCATGCCTGATAATTTACGTATGCACAACTGTACTTTGTTGTCGTAAAAAATGAAGGAGGAGCGACATTTGGCGAACCATTTCTCAGTATGAACGATTACGTTCATGATCATAATCGAAAAAGACAAAAAACTCTGTTCGGTTCGCCCAACTGTCTTGAACACTTTTATGTCAAAATTGTCTTTTAATGTTCGGTCTTTTGATTTTTGTTCTGTCTTTTGCCTGAACATCAACTATGGCAGCGGCTTAAGGCTGAACGGATTGTCTTTGACACAAGTGCTCGGCAAACAGCTGCACTCGTAAAACCATGAAAATCAGTCAATCACGAAAAACGGTTCGGCATCGGCCTTTCGAAGTTTAACGACCACTGGTTTGCACTCCAGCCTTAATTTTGGTTCCCGCAAAAAGGTGTCCAGGCGTATTTTAATGTACCAGACGTCGTTAGCGATGTTTATCGATAATTTCCGTTAAGACGAGAGTGTATCCTAATATGGCACACACAATCTGAAAAAAAGTGTAAAGTTAGAGTGATCATGAGACGATTTTTGAATGTAGAAATTCCTTGTGGGGGGGGGGGGCAGGAGGCACCTTGTGAGTGCTAGCCATGGACGCACTCTTGCATCATTGTTTCTTGTTGTTCAGTTATTTGCTAGTACGACATTCTCTGACCATGGTGAGTAAGTACGTAAGTTATTACCAATTGCCCATTAGTAAATAAGTTACGCTTCTGTTGAGAAGAGTTTTTCGGGCGTTGTGTATACTACGTACGGGCTGCGCATTTATCCGAACGCAACCAGTAAGCAACATGGTGAAGTAGAAGGGCCTATTATGATACCCTTACTTGAATCGCTGTTTCACGATTGACAGCCATCCCAGCTAACGTCGCCTGTGGTCGTATCGAAGAAACACGTTCTAAATGACGTTTGAATGTAGCAGTCAAAAGCGCCGACGGTCTGCGAAATGCCATTTCGGTTCTGATGGCGACTACCGAAGATTCTCCCTATAAATCACAATAATAATTATTTACTACCATGACGATGTATTTCGATTAATTAAAATTTAATGGTACAAAATGCAGATGCATCAAAGTGAAGGCCATGGAGACAGTAAACGTTTAAGTCTGTAATCGTTTGTAGCGCAGTACCTTCTCATTGACCAATATCATGGACATCAGTTGGATCAAAAGAGTTGTTATACCAGAAATCACCAATAACAACGTCAGAATATCGATTACAGCTCCTTGCGATAATTTATCTAGGATATCCTGCAAGTTTGCCATTGTAATAAGCAGTGCTTCGGAAAAGGTCAGCAGATTCACCAGCGACATGTGCTTTTCATATTCGCTGAGGCGTTGAGATATGAAGAAATGCATCTGCAGCAGCTTCGTGCAATCAGCACTACCATACGAAACAGACGCAAAGTGGGACTGAATGTGGTCTAATTGGAGCGCTTCGATATAAGGAAAAATTTTGAGGACACATTGTACTACTCGAAAACCTATTTCGCTCATATCGATCAGAATTTCTATAAGTATTGACAGTGGTTTGGCAAAAGCGCCTAAAGCGTGCAAAAATTGTTCATTCTCTGATGCATAAACGCCCAAATTCATTACATCGATAACCAATGTTACCCCGGGAAGCGAAATGAAAAGAAACACAGATAAGCTGATGACATTGGTTGTTAGCGTCCGTGTCAAGAAAGATCCAAATGCCTTCAGGGATCGTTTTGCATGTGCAAGTAAGAATCCATCTAGACGCCATATTTTAATAGCGCAGCCCGAGCGAGCCAGCGGAAAGAATAATAATACGGGAAAATTCAGTATCATGCGGGACATACTTCCTTTTTTAAGCGGGAGCACAAGGTTTGTTACAGCGACAAAAGCGTTGCAACAAAACTGCAAAACGATGGACGCTGCCACTGCGCATCCTGCGATTCTAATGACCGATGCTCTTTTACTAAAGACGGCGAGCGGGATACTGAAATAACCGCACATCACCATTGCACAAAACCAAAAGCCATTATTGATCTCCAAGAACAATAAGCCGGGTCGTGGCGCTGGCATCTTACCTCTGTATTAGTGCAATTACTACAGCATATTATGTATACCTGCAGACTTGCGTTAAAGTTAAAAGTTAAGTAGCAGTATTTGAAGTTACACAAAGAACACAAATTATTCATGCATTCATTTATTAATATAATGCGCTGACGTACAGAGTATGTTTGGAAAAAAGTTTGGAGTGCTTGGTGAAACATTAGATGAACAAACGGGAACACATTGCTTAAATAATTTAATATCCTTCCGCGTCAGATAACTGGTTATTATGGCAGCTCAGACCACATGGTGACAGTCTTCATGAAAGACCAAACACGTGTGAAAGAATTTGAAATTTGCAGAATATTAATACCGGTACAATGGTTTATGCCAATTCCACCGCAGTGAAAATAACTCAAATTACCGCAAAACAAGTCTTTCCATTGTCCCTTGTCAGTTTTCACTATGACGTTTACCTAATCCACTCCACATGCACAGCAAATCAAACTACCCGATCTTTTGCTCTGACACACACATTTTTGTACTATGTCACGTCGTATTCCGGCACTTGACAGGTTGACAGGTTACATAACTTTTGGGGATGGTAAGTTGGTACCGGCTGCCTATTTGACTCTGTGTTACGTTTCTTGGCTTTAAGGTTCCAGTAAATTAGTAATGAGGAATACTTCTGGTAGTCTCTTTCAGGAACGTTGTTCAACTGAACCCGCCGGCTTAGCCAAATCAAAAGTAGCCAACGGTACTCAGTAAAGAAAATAGCAACTGACCGTAAATTGCAGTACTTTGCACATTATCGTATCTGACAGTACGTCAAGTCTGCAGAGCGTTGTGTACGTAGTATTGCACAATTGTTATTCGTAATAAAGCGATATTAAAGAACATTTTTTCGAACGCGAAGATTGTTCACAAACAGCCGACCATGGGCGAAGTTTATTGGAACATTTCCTCCTCTAATTTGACGCAGATTTATGGCTCATTGACGTTACCCGCACAATTAACGGGAATTGTGGGCACCGCCTCTCTTCTGTTAAACGCAGCGCTGCTGTCCTTGTTCCTGTTAAAGAGAAATCTCTGGACCCCGTTCGATCTCTACTTCCTCGCTTTGGTGTCAAATAATGTCCTTCTTCATGGAATCGCTACTCCACTCACGGTGATGCTGGAGCTAGATGATGGGTGGCCCGTTAATATTGCTGGTTGTCTGGTTTACGCGTACGCCGTCTTCATCCTTCTCCTAAACCAACTAGCCATTCATTCCTGCATCGCCATCAACCGTATTTGGGCCATGGTAGCACCTGTATCGTTCCGTAACTTCCACACATTTCGCTCCGCCGGTTGCTTAGCGGTGGCCATTGTCGTCGTATCGCACGTTGTCGGACTTCCGCTGATTTTGGTGGACATCCTACAGCGCCAACCAGTTCAACTTGGACACTGCTTTTTCGGTGACCCCAACTATTCGTTGGTCGAACAGGTTTCTACCATGATCAACCGCATTCTTTTGTTCGCTTGTTTTATGATTATGGTAATTTCCATGCCGGTTATTGTTTGGAAACGCTGGCAGAGGCTGCGGCTGAAACATCAGATTGTCCTCCGCCCAAATGCCAAAAAAAGATTTGTTCCTAATGCCGACATTACCCGCGCTCGAGAAGGCCAAAGTGCGATTTTGATAATCGCCTTCGGAGCGAGCATTGTCGTCTGCTGGGGTCCGTATGTCACATATTACGTAGTGGCCAGCGGATATGATCTTCAGATAGTGCAGTATCTTGTTGTTCTTTTCAACTGCCAATCCGTAGCTGATCCCATTATCCTGGTGTGTGCCTTGCCGGTGTGGAGAAATGCACTGCATGAAGCTGTCTGTCGGTACAATCGCGCAAAGAAGTAATCGATGATTCAAGCAGTTCACTACTTTGCAAGTTTTTTTGTGGTGCGAGTATTAGCCGTACCCTGTACATAGGACATAGGTTTAAAGAAAGCATGGATAATTATTCTTACCGCATATTGCGCAAACTGGCGCTGCTCTTTTTCGAAATACTATTATGTATTTGTACTAGAGAACTATATGCACTGAATGTTGGTGTTGCTGACATCCTGTTGCACAGTGTTTATTAGTTACATCAGTAAATTTTTGAACCGCCAACGGACTGGCCGATTTCTGCCTTTTTTTAATTATCGCTTTTCATGTAATTAGTCCGACTGCCCGATTTGAACTTCTCAGTCGTCCTTGACGCTTATGTAATGTAGCTTGTAATTTGGTATTAATTTCTTTCGTTTACTTTTCGCGGAGTTGCGCACATGCGTTTTCGATGGTCTGGCTGGAAAGAATCTCGGCGAGCATAGTACTATACGTAGTGATGATAAACTGCCTTTTTTCTGTGATCGAGAGTGTTAAGAATCGAGTTAAATTTGACCGAGGCTGCTGGCCTGTTGCCTTATACTGCTGGCAGAACAACAGAGGCACGGCCATTTCTGTACTGCACCCATGCGGAATCAAGAAGGTCACGATTCTGATGATCGCTTTCGGAGTGAGCACAAGAATTCCGTTTTTGATAGCGTCGTTAACGCATTTATCAATAACTGTTTTATCTTTTACCAAATACTTTTTGCAATAAGTAGGAAACGGCACCACAGATACTTGTATAACAGTCCCGTCTTCCTCGGTTATCTCCAGTTTCATTAGTCACAGTATTATACCATGGTAAATGTGATAATTCATACCATAAGCGGAAAGGTAAAGACGCTTACATGTTAAACGGAAAACATCCTCTCCGCATGCCTGGTTTAATGTTTCAGCGGATCGCTTGTACAAATATAAACAGGGCGCTCTAACATGAGGATATCCCAAAGTGCAAATGCTCGCACCGCGTAACAGTTGCAGCGATACATGACTAAACCATGACGTACGTCTGTATTGGCGCAGCGCTAAACAAAGTATCCATATCCATCTCAAAGAATTGATCCATCATCCAACTGTGAAAAAAAACTAGCCTCTGCTAATCGTCTCTCGCCATTTTCAAAACCATCAAAGTCTGTGTGCAAAAATGAATCTTTCGATAGATGTCATGCGTAATACCTCGTCAGAAACGTTTTCGTACACGTCAAGAGACATAAAAGTCACATTTTCGATCGTGCTGTCTGTAATTCCTTTTATACTCAATTCCGGTTTGCTGATTACCTTTCTCTTATGGTTCCGCACGTGGACGCCCTTTGACACGTATTTCATCGGTTTATGCACAGCTAATGTCATCTTCCAAGGTATTCTCGGTCCCTTTAACACCTTGGTTCTACTGCATCCCAGTCTGTGGGTCGGCGTATCCGCATGTATGATCTATGTGTATCCGATCGCTGTCATCGCTATAATCCAAACCGCGATGCATGGTCTTATTGCTCTCAATCGCATATGGATGCCGGTATCATTTCACCATCTGCACACCATAAAAACCGCTGGATTAGCAAATTTGTCCGTTTGGTTGTTGGTCCATGTTATAGCGCTGCCGGTACTTATAAAAAATCTCGTCATCCGGCAGCCGATGGAAATTTCTCACTGCTTTTCCGGAGGAAACACAGGATCATTTTCTTGGAACCCGAAATCAGAATCAATAGCTGTTAACGAGATATTTAATTTTATTTCTTTCTGCATTATTTTAAGCGCATTTCCTTTGGTTCTGTGGAAGCAGCGAGCAAGAGCGTTGTGGAGAAAGCAGCAAACCGTTCAGCCACAAACTGAAGGGACACGGGTCACGGCGCACCATGTGGTAGAGCGGCAGTCATATGTCTTAATGGGAGCTTTGACATTAAGTATCACGTTGTGCTGGGGACCAACTATGGTTTATTTGGCATACACGGTGCTAACGGGGCATTCGGTTCCCATAATGAAAGACATTATAGAAGCACTTTTTAACTTCCAGCCCATTGCTGATCCCATTCTTCTAATTTTATCGTTTCCCATCTGGAAGCAGCGAGTTTTGCGGCTTTATTTTAGATGTTTAATGTGACATGTTCAGAATTACAAATTAATGCAGCATGATTCATAGTGAACAAAACTTTGTTGGCGTCATTGTCAGTGGTATCACTGGTTTTAATAATGATTTTAAATGATGTCAGTATTACAGCTTTGTTGCACGCTTTGTCGCACTTGCGGCGTATTGCTTCCCCGTACTGTATCTGTACTCGTATTTCTTTACAAAGCGTAGAACTACCAACTGTCAACACCCAGTGGTATACTAAAATACGTTAGTTTTGCGCAGTAATTTGGATTATGAAACTGGAACTATCTGTATCTCCTGGGAGTGTAGATTTGTTCGGCTACATTTTTCTTGTTACCTGTGAAAATGTAACGTAGAAACAAACAACTCTTACATACAGTTTACCAGATGCGCCGGTTCCATTACAAGGTTCAGTGTGCTTCGGTGTTCTACGCTAGTGTTCAAAGTCACAGGTTTTACTGCACTTAATCAAGCCGTGAAAGTGTCATTTCCTCTGGTTACATGGTATGCAACGCATACTTGCCGGTTAGGTAACTCAATGTGCAAGCGTCCCTGCATTGTTTTTCGTATACAGTTTTACATACAAATAAGTACAGTGGACTTCATAAATGTGGTTACACGTAGCCACCCGCATGCACAGTGCTATCGGCTTTAAGTGTAACCACATTTATGAAGTCCATTGTAACTGTCTGTATATGTCCACTACGAGTATATTGGATCAGCAGCAACAAACGTCCTGCAACCGAGACCCTGCGTCACTAACTTTAATTACTGTACTAAACTTTCTTACCAGTTGGTGGAGACTGATTGTTAAGCCAGCTTACCGCAAACAAACAGCAAATAAAGATTAGTTAACGTGGCCTTATAGTTCCCCTGAGTGCAGTCGATTAAATATTTAAATTACAGTAAACTTGCACTTTGAGTTATGACAAATGTTATATACGTAGTAGGCAGCTTACATCCACGCATTCAGCAACCTAGACAGCCTGTTTTTGTGCCCGCGGGTACGCAATTAGCAATGAAACGCGAAGCTCATCAATTTCCAGTAATTCATTGTACAGTTTCTTTTGTGGTGGGAACTGTATTAATAACTTTTAATTTTGGTGTTTCGTTTACATTACAATGTTTTAAGTTTGGAGCTCTCGCTGCGAAGGCGTCTGTAAATCAACAGATGTCTCATGCTGCCTGGGTGCCCTCATAACTACATCTCTCATTGCAGCTTGACCATGTAGGAACAGCTAACAAGATTAGCAGCAGCAGTTATGCGGCGACTTTTGTCTGCTTCCGGTAAATGGTGATTGGGCTGCAGGACGAGATAAGATAGATGAAAGCTTATGGTACATACATATGTATATTCCTCCCAGCCGAATAAAAACTGCAACCCCGCTTTTGCATTTCCCAGAAGATGCTGCAACAGAGACCACTAAAACTATCATTTTCAGCTAGTACTGTTTTTTACATTTCGTGATATTGCTGATAAAACGTGTGATCCATAAGGTCAAGAGGAGACATTGTTAGCATTGTTAGTAGAACACTTACAAACTCGTGTGAATGAAAGGGATAACGGGCTAATTGATTAATTGATTTCTGCAATATAACTCATCCTGCTCCAATTTATCATGATTAATGCTTTCATTTCCTGCCACCTTCGGCGATTTTCACTTTCGTATGTAGCACTGTGAGCGCAGCTGTGTTTTCGGGCAGCACAGTTGAGAGTACATGTATCCGGCGGAAGTAGCACGCAACTGGTTCGCTGGGTCGCGATGTGTGGCACAAGTGACTCAGAGGGTCTTCGTAAATTTGCTCATCATGACAATCAGGCGGTCATGATTTGCGTGTCGCGGTCATGTTGTGCGTGTTGTGAAGTACTAACTTCACAACAGTTAAATTCCGCCTTTTTTCAAAGCCATGAAATTTAGGTCCAGTGGCGGTAGAAAGGAAAACGGGCTATGTTACTGTGCTGGCGCTGCACTTCCGACAATGATTAATTTCTGTGCTGGTTTTTATCATGTATGAGTATAAATCTATCTTCTAACCACACTCTTGCTCTTATGCAAAAATGACCTGCTTCGTTTGACAGCTTCCGTTTTTCTACCCTCAATCAATTAGGGTTGCTTCCATGTGCAGTAATACCGCGTGACTGTGGGCACTATGCCAATTATGCCATCATTCCGCTTCATCCGACTCTCGTTTCTTTTATAACTTTTACTTATCTGTATTAATTTCTTAGCGCAAAGGTGGATCATACATTAATGACCGCCTTCCTCTGGCCAGTTCAGCGTATTGTTTACTTGTCCAAATAAAAGGAGGCGATGTCGTGTTCAATGGTTAATTTGTTGCCGTTCTCTGCACAGATAAGTAATGTAATTCGTCTCAAATTTTACTAAACGAACAGTTCGATCTCATAATCCGTCTTTAAAACCGAGATTCAATGCATAACAACTGAACATGAGCGGACATTATGGCAACATGTCACTTGTTAATGTGACACTCCCTGCTTCATCCACATTACAAGCGTCCCTAAACGGAACTGTTGGTACCGTTGCGTTCCTGTTGAATTCAGTGCTGGTATGGTTGTTTCTGACTAAACGGAACCTTTGGACTCCGTTCGATATTTATTTCCTCGCGTTGGTGGCGAACGTTGGTGGTGCTTCTCCACACTATTGCTACGCCGTTTGCTGTCATTTTGGAAACAGATCCTCGATGGACAGTGGGGATTCTTGGTTGTTTTGTATTTAAGTACGTGATCTTCGTCCCTCTCTTGAGACAACTCGTCATTCATTCCTGCATCGCTGGCAGTCGACTCTGGGCCTTGACGGCGCCAGTATTGTTCCATCATTTGCACACTTTCCGCTGCTCCGGTTGCGTGACGCTGGTGATCTTGGTGGGGATACACATA